ATAGGAATAAAATCATCGGAGTATTTACTGTTTAAGAAGGCAAGGGCAGAAAAGGTTTCAAAAAGGAATTTAAATTCTTCAATGTTATGTGAGCCTTATGGATACAAATTAAGATTAGACTGAAAAGAGTTTACTTGATTTTGCATTTATGCAAAAAGACTCAATCAAGATTTGTTAGGTGCATATACATGAATAAAACTGACATGATTCATCCACCTATAGATCTTACAATTTATTAAGTGTTGCAGAAGTTCAACCTAACAAATAAACAATTAAATAGCATTATAATCTTTTGAAAGGTGCTCTGGGACAGGTTAATAGGAATACCAATATTTGATGGATAAGTAAGTGATGGTGTCAGTGGGAATGCAAAATCTAAGCTAATACTTGAAGAATAAGCAGGAGAGGCAGGCAGGGAGAGGGAGTAAGATAGGGCAGCACATAAAACAGTCCTGAGGTAGGGAAGAGCCCTGTGAATCCAACCATCAGAAAAAATGAAATACAATGTGGCTAAGGCATAATAAGCAAGAGGCCAAGCAGAAAGAGAGAAAAGTAGTAGATGAGTGCAAGTATCAGACCAGGCAGTGCCTTAAAGGCCACAGGAAGGAGACAATACTATAGTTTTACTGCTATAGAACAGTACTGATGTTTTAAGCAGATAAATAATATAATGCAATACAAATATGCTCTAGAAATGCCACCATGAGGACAACTATGCTTAGACTGATTCGGAGAAGGGCCAAAGTGTGAGAGAACCAGCTACAAGTATATTGTTAAAGCTGAACACAGTGATGGACACTAGTAATCCCAGCTACCTGGGAGTATGAGGCAGGAGGATTGCAAGTTTGAGCCAGCCTCCCCAGTTTAGTGAGACTGTGTCTCAAAATAAACAATAATAAGGGTGCTCAGGATGAAGCTCAGAAGTAAAGCACCCCCAAGTTTAATCCTAGTACTGTATGTATGCACAAACATTAAATATATGTTGTAATAGTCAGACAATGGCCATGCTAATCTGGACTAAGGCAGTACTAGTACAAATGGTAAGAAGTGAGTAGATCTGATGTATTTTTCAAGTGTGATTGAGAGGTAATTAATGTTCTTTCCTAGATCAATTTCAATTTATTATTTAAGGCAGATTCTTGATTGCTATTGGTTGAAGAGGGAATAAGAGGTAAGGCTTTAGAAAGTAAATGGAGACTAATCTTTGACAAAACTAAAGTGAGAAATGGAGAAAGGGCAGTAGCTTGCAAAGGCCTTAGGGTCAATGATAGATGTTGCATTCATTCATCCATCTATATATTCATTCATTTTTAGACAACAAGCGACTTGTTTTCCCATATAAATAAAAAAAGCAGAGTGGAGCCTGACAAATTAAATATGCAATGGAAGCTAAGCAGGCAAGAAATACTGATGTCTTTAAGTAGGTACAGGAGAGACAGAGTGCGTGCGTGTGCCCCAGAAGGGAACAGTAGCTAAAAGCACTGGCTATGAATTCAGATTGTCTGGGATTGAATTCTGTATCTGTGCACCCTTGGACAAGTTACCTAGCCTTTCTTGCCCTCAGTTTCATCTTCTGTAATATGAAGCTAATAATATTGCCAACTTCAAAGGGTTCTTCACAATACATAAGATAGTTCAAGTAATCATGCTTAGCACAGAACATGACACAGTAAGTCTCCATTATATTTTTACTACTCACAATGCATCCCTTGTAATGGTTAATCTCCAGTACCAATAATAAACAAAAAATTTTTAAAAATAATACCAATAATATTGGTAATAATAATTGTACATCTCTTTTTCTGAGGTTTGGCAGAAAATGAGTTAATGAAATATATGGGGCTGGGGATATAGGTCAGTGGTAGAGCACTTGCCTAGCATGTGCAACATCCTGGGTTCAATCCCTAGCACCCCCCAGAAAAAATCATTAAGTCAGGAAATGCTAAATGTGAGGCTAAGCTGAGAAGATCACTTGAGCTCATGACTTTAGAACCACATTAGGCAACAAAGAAAGAGCCCATATCAAGAAAACAAAAAGATATGGCTAGAGATAACTTTGTAGGTAGAAGAGATATTGGAGACACTGAAGCTTAAGTGCATTTGCTTTTCTCTGGAAAGCAAGAGGTTAGGTTGTTTGTGGTAAGTGAAAAAAGAACAAATAGCAGTTGATGGAAGATTGTAGGATAATGGTAATAAGAAAATATAGGCAGGATGAGAATGCAAAGGAGTTTTAGTTCCATTCTGTAAATTCAGGGAGACATTGAAGGTTTTTGATATAAGAAATTAAATGATAAACACATATTTTTTCAGAAGACTAAATTAATAGTGTTGATAGGTGAATAGAGCAGACACAAGGCACCTCTAGAGTTTGGAGCCTCTCTCATTAGTGCAGAAGAGTACATGTATTCCTGAAGGTATCCTCAGTTAAGGTATTTGGGTATATTCACACCAAAGTAATTTAACATTTTTTGTTTTAGCATGATTTTTACTTTTATAGCTCAGTCGCGTACTTTTCTTTTCTTTTGTTTGTTTCTTTGGTAGCAGTGGTTGAACCCAGGGATTCTTAACTACTGAGCCACATTTACAGTCCTTTTATGTATTTTTTTTAGAGACAGGGTCTCACTGAGTTGCTTAGGGCCTAGCTAAGTTGCTGAGGCTGGCTTTGAACCCACTATCTTCCTGTCTCAGCCTCCAAAGCCCCTGGGATTAGAGGCATGAACCACCGTGCCCAGCCCACATACTTGTCTTTAATAATTGTCCTTTAATAATTGTCCTATAGTTCAATTCAATAAACACCATTTACTTATGAAGATACTGTTCTGAACACTGCAATGCATGCATACGTGCTTAAAAGACTAAAGTTTAAATTAATTAAAAAATATTTTCCTGGGGCTGGGGTTGTTGCTTGATGGTAGAGCGCTCGCCTAGCATGTGTGAGGCACTTTGTTCAATCCTCAGTACCACATAAGAATAAATAAAATAAATATCTATCAACAACTAAATGTTTTTTAAAGAGAGAAAGAGAATCTTAATTTTTTTTGTTTTGTTTTTGGTGGACACAATATATTTATTTTTGAAATTATTTTTAATGTGGTGCTGAGGATCGAACCCAGTGCCCCGCACATTCCAGGCAGGCGCACTACCGCTTGAGCTACATCCCCAGCCCAAACAACTAAAAAAAATTTAAAAATATTTTCCTAACAATGCATTTACCTAAACTTTATTTGGCAAATTCTGTTTTATATGTTCTTAGGTAATTTACATAGTATAACTGCTTTGTAATTGCCTTGATATTTTCCCCAGAGACATGTAACTAAGTATAGTGAGAGTAAATAAGAGGACTAGGTGAATTCATGTACACACAGACTGAGAATTATTTATGGTTATGTGCATAAACAAGAAATCTCTTCCATTCTCTATTTTGCCTTTAGTTCAGAACGTATATTGTTTTTTATGTCCCAAACTTCATTTCCTGAGTGGTACCAATGATATTCCTCTTGAAGGACTTGCTTGGCAAACTAATACATCTTCTAAGATAAACTGCATTCAAAGAAAAAAATGGCTTCAGAGAAATTGCGTAGTGTACCTACTGTAAAACTCATAACCATCATGACACAGTGGAAATCTCACATGTACAGCCCTGCTTCAATTACAATATGAATCTAAGAAGCTCAGGTTTCAAGTGTGGCCTTTGGTCTAGAAAATTTTATTACTGAACATTGTGCTAAAATGCTGCAATTTAATAAATAATATTAATTCAGTTGACTAATAATATTGATTCAGTTGGCTAATTTTCCTAACTCAAAAGTTAGTGAAATATATTCTTCAGGTAACTTTTTATGCTTTTGTTGATCTCAAATGCTTATGTCTCATTTTCTTTTAAGGGATTTGACAAAAAAAAACATTTAAATCAGTAGGGAATGACATGTATTAGAATTAAAGTACTCTAAATATCGGCAGGCAGTTATTTCACATGTTCAAATGGAATATGCAGAGCCTCATCTTTCATATATTGATTGTAAACAAGATATTGAAATTGCAAAGTTTCAAATACACAACTATTAAAAAACCTTATAAAATATTTTGGATGAAGCAACAGTATTTGACTATCAGGCCAAATAGCAATTTAAAAATGTTTACTATGCAGACAGAAAATGTTCAGGGAGTCAGAGAAAAACTGGCATTCATAATGGAACTGTTTCATTCACATGACAAACAAATTTGTATTGAATATCTAAGTAAAATATACCTTTTGAACTCCAATAAATGAAGTAAATCATGATGTCCTCTTCCCTACCTTTTTTGAAAAAAAACATTGCCAACTATTTGAATAGCAGAATTGGGGAATACTTAAAATATATTAACTACATTCTATAGTACATATCTTCCCTAGGCATCTTTGGAAGCACTTAAGAGAAGGGGGAATAAAGAAAATTGATTAATTCCAATAATACCAACCATATGAGGTATATTTGTAAGATATTGGTCTCACCTGAAACAGCATATTTAGAGCTTTCAATCAATTAATGACACTCTACAAAATCTGAAAATACCCATGCTTTTTCTGAAATAATATATACTATGGAAAAGTCTCTAGTATTTAGCTAGTTATCCAGTTATTATCCTTGCATTGAAGACTAGGTTTGGGGAAGGCAAATTCTAATATGAAGATCTGAATGGAATAAAAAATAGCCAATACAATATTGCATTTTGTATTTTACATATAGTAATACAACTTAATTTCAATTTAATTTAATAGAGAGGATCTCATGATATATCTTAAGGTATTTTGTGAATATAAAAATTAACTTGGTTATTTTTTAATACCATGAAAAATATTAGAGGTAAATAAGGATTTTTTCCTGACAGTCAATATTACATGTAATTATGTAGTTACAAAGTCAGAAAAAAAATCAACATCTGAAATGTCTCTCTTTTCACTGTTTCTGACAAGTGTTACCTCCCAGTTGAGTTTTGAGGCCTTTCTACTTAATACATACCACAACTCCAAATTGCTCAGGCTCACACAGGTCATCATATTCATTCTTAAGCTGTGCTAATTCACTGAGTACCTTCTGCTCAGGAAGATGTTTTACAAGGTTCTAAAAAGAAATGGAAGCAAAAAAAATAGTGTTTTATGATTAGGATCTTTAAGCATGTAAAAACAATTCTAAAAGTGATAAACTAGTAAATTTCTGGTTGCAGCTGTTATTGCATGGATACACACTCCCTTCCCATCTCCTACAGAATGTAACCTAAAAATAAACTAAATTAAGTATATAAAATGTACAAATTTGATTGATTTCTATGCATTATAGTACATAAATGTCAAATAAAAAGAGTATGTAAGAATAAATGGCTTTCAAAAAATGACTAAGCTTCTGGGCCTTAAATACAGATCATACTTTTTAAACTCTGATTTCCTGTCATGATGATCTAAACTGGAAATTGCAAACATTATGTAGTATTAGCTTATGTACAGTAATACTAAAAAACAAAATATCAACTCTACTATTCATTTCTCAAAATCTGGTACCACCTTCCATCTTATAAAGCACACTTGGCCTGTTCAAAAATTGCCCATTATTTACAATATCTATGTTTGAGTACATTAGACATTCTTATTATAATGGAGAATCCAGCAAAAGTAATGAAATATGAAGCATACCAAAGTGTGAGGCCAGTTATGGAATGAAAGGATATGTCCCTCCAAAATTCGTATGTGTCTCTAAATAAAATATATAATAGGTCTGGGGATGGGGCTCAGTGGTTAAGTGCCCCTGGGTTTTATCTCCATACCAAATAAATAAATAAGGAAAGAAATAAGGAAAGAATAAAGGAAAGGAAAGGAAAGGAAAGGAAGGGAAAGGGAAAGGGAAAGGGAAAGGGAAGGGAAGGAAAAGAAAAAAGGAAAAGGAAAGGAAAGGAAAATAAAAAGAAAGAATAGGAAGGGAATGGAAAGCTAGCTTATTCTCTTTCCACCATTTAGGATACAATGACAACTAAGGAGTCTTCAATCCAGAAGATGGCCCTCTCCAGAACCCAACAATGATGGCACCTTGAACTTGGATTTCTAAGCCTCCAAAATAATGACAAATAAATTTTGTTGTTTATAAGTCTATGATACTATGTTTGTCTGTTTTTGTGGCGCTGGGGATTGAACCCAGGGCCTTGTACATGCAAGGCAAGGACTCTACCAAATGAGCTATATCGCTAGTCCTATAATACTATGTTATAGAAGCCTGAACTATGCTTAATAATGTCAGAAAGAATCAACATTAATAAAGTCATCTCCACTCATGCTATATTTAAATATAGTACTGCATTTTGTTGTTGTTGTTTGTTTGTTGCTTGCAGTGCTAGAGATTAAACCCAGGTCTCACTCATGATAGGCAAGTGTTCTGCCACTAATCCACATCCTCAACCCTGTGGTACAGTTGTAATCATTACATTGTCTTGCAGTGAATATTTGTGGGACTTGTATGGAATTTTCATGGACATATGGAAAAGAAGGCGACGCTCTCCAAGTAAAACAAGTATTTGGTAGAATAGATTAAATATGATCTATTTACTGGTATAAAAGGGAGTCATTTTACATAAAAAAAAAATACAAAAAGGCCCAAAACAAAAGAATAGAAAAAAAGATATTCATGTAAATTGCAACCAAAAGAACTGAGGTTTCTACATTTTTGACACAAGATGGACTTTAAAAAAAACAAAGAAAATTTAATGAGAGGCAAAGAAGGACATTACATATGGATAAAAAGGTTATTCCATCAAGAAAGTATGATGATTATAAACCCATGCCCACCTAAGACTAGAGCTCCAAAATTGAAATAAAAATTGACAGACTGGAAGGAAGATTTATAGCATTCTAAAATAATACAAAGAGAATTAAATACCCTACTTTCAATAGTGGATAGACTAACTAGAAAACAAATTAATAAGGAGAGAGAAATTACATTACACTACACTACAAACCAATTAGAACAAACAGACATATACGAAACACTTCAACCAATAACAGTAGAATGTATATTCTTCTCAAGCACACATAAGAACATTCCTCAGGATAAATCATATGTCAGGCCTCAAAGCAAGTACTAACAAATTTTAAAAAGACTAAAATTAAACAAAAGTATCTTTTGTGATCAAAATAGAAAGATCATAAAAAGAAATAACAAAAGAAAGTCAAAATTTTCTAATTATGCAGAAATTTATCAACACATTCTTAAATAACCAATGGGGCCAAAAAATCAGTACAAGAGAAATGAGAAAATCCTTTGAGATGAATGGAAAAAAAAGAACAACATGCCAACCTTTATGAAATACAGTAAAAGTCATACTAACAGGGAAAAATTACACTAGTAAATACTTAAATTAAGGAAGAAAAATCTTAAATCAATAAATTAACTTACATCTTACATAACTAGAAAAGAAAAAACTAAATCTAATAACAGGAAGAAAATAACAAAAATTGGAGATAAACAAAATATCATACACCACTGCAAGTGTGCTTTTTCTTCTCCCCATTTACCTTTTCACTTCTTCAACTCAACTGGCTTTCCATTAATCTCTGAGCCTCTAATGGTACCCATTATCTAACTAATGATACTCAAATTTTAAAATATTGTGCTATTGATTTAAAAGAGATACAGATATAGATAGAACGACAATATACATGTGTTAAAATGAAATCAAGAATATACATTATTTGCTTCACTAGTATGATTTTTCTCAAATAGAATGAAAATGTAAATAATTGCTAAAATATTATTTTCATTTTACTAGAATATTTGATGCATGAAAATTATTCAATATTTCAATTTTTGTACACTATGTTATTTAAAAACAAAGACTGGTAACTTGAATAATTTTTACTATAGTGAAACTAAATTAGAAAGATTAAGAACATTATTATAATTATGAAATAATGCAATTCTCTATATTGAAAACTTTCCTTCTCAGTTGTAGATTTAACTGTGCAAATAAGCAATACAGAATGAATTTAGCCTAAAATAGAATTTTAGCACAGAATGTGATTTCTTTGTTGTTATTTTATTTCACTTATTGCTATAGATAGCAACTCATCTTCCGAATGCAGGCTCTGCAGTAGGAGGTGACATATCTTTTCTTCTCTGTTCAGCTATATGAAATATTTAACACTTTCAATGGGCCTGGGTATATTCTGACTCTGGGTAATAGTTTATTTGAAAGGCACAGACTTTTAGAACTTCCAGTGCTTAGTAGATTCTATTTGAAAATGACAATTAGAATCAAATTCACTATCAAATTTATAAATTTATCACAGATTCAGATTACTATTACAGAACATAGTGCTTCAATGAGTCAGCTTCTATATTGTTCCATGTTGCAAGTGATCATCATAGCCAATCCTTAATCATACCTCATTATTTTACATTACTTTGAAGACAAAAATGTAGTATAAAACTCAACAATATTTCAAGCCTATAAATAATTGAATAGAAGAGGAATAAAGATAAGAAGATACAGAGGAAAGAGAGATGTAGCAGTATTCATTTGCCTCCACTCTCTTTCACCTACTCATCAAAAGTATATCAAGAGAAGAAAATGGAAAAAATGTAGAAGTGTAAGGCACAGCATGAGACTGATGTGTACCATCCTAGGAATCAGTCTGAAGTGTATTTTTGTGGTGAACTAAGGGGCCTCCTGGGAGAAAAATCTAAAGGAAAGGAAGCCAGTGGCAAGCAGAATGACCAAGAAGGCCTCCAATTTGCAAAGAGTTGAGGTGATTCTGAGTGCAGCATATTTGTTTTCTAAATGTGTCTACAGACCCAGCCTACTGAGTCCCAAAATGGTAAAACTTCTGAGTGTTGTGGAAAAGAGAACTGTATAAAGAACACTCATTTGGTACCAATTTAATCAAGTACATTAAAAAAAGGAGAGGGGTTAAACTGTAGATCACTGGTAGATTATTTGCCTCATTGGTATAAGGCCTGGGCTTCATCCTCGGGGGGGAGAGAGAGAGAGAGAGAGAGAGAGAGAGAGAGAGAGCGCCTTTTCATTTAGAAGGCTTCATAGTTGTGCCTCATGAGAAATTCTTTCCCTCTCCCCACACATAGTTGTCCCTAGGGGACTGGTCAAAACAGGAAACCAGAAGAATCACCTGAAGCTGCTATGTGGAAGCTGAAAAAAATTCTATGGAAAATGTGCAAGCTATTCCCTGAAGTCCCTACAGACATATAGTGTAGAGGCTTTTGAAAAGAGTTAGGGTCCTGAAGTAGCAGTTAGGAGCAAGAGCAAGAATAGTGTAGGTAAACTGGTGTGAATCAGCTAGTGTTGTAAAATTCATATTATCTAAGTACTATGTATTTTAAAAAATAAAAATAGCTTTTGAATTTCACGTTTACAACCACTTCTGATCTCAAAATAAATTGCAAAAATGAGTTGATAGTTCAGACACCCTGAATACCTGCTGTAAGTGAAAAGCTATTCATAGTAGCAGAAGCTAGATATTATAAATTTTTAAATATAACAGATTCTGAAAAACTGCAAGTCGATAGGCAAATATCTGGTAAAATTTCAAGGCATAAGCCCTTCCATTTCTCCCTCCTCCTGCTCACTTGCAAAGCATCTTCCTCGCCCCCCCCCCAAAAAAAAACCAACTTCAGAATTGTGTTTAAAGATCAATTCTGGGTCAGTATGAAAGTTTCATTCTAGAAAATGTCAATGAGTTGAAGTTCATGAAGAAAACAACAAAGGAGAAAACGGTAACTACGTCACCATATGAGCAGATTTTTCTTCATCTTTTATGCATGACAAATTCACTTTCTGATGACTGTCAGTGTTATCTGAAGGAAATTCTCCTTACAGACCATAGGCTTTTAACTACTTTTTACATTTCTGCAATTACTCTATAATGCTTCCAAAACTTTATTTCCTTTAAATGTTAATTGCACACTTAAAGGTTAGTTAAGTAAAAGTACTGAACCATAATGCCCTTTCCTTCTTGCCAAAACATAACCTTTCTCTTTTGTCTTATATATCATTAAGTCATTTTAGTAGTAGGGTAGTATAGTTAGGTTCACTCTGATTAAGTCTATAATTTTCCACGTAAATG